TGTTGTCTTGAGAGCAGCACCTCGTTCCGAGGAGACACCCAGTTTTCAGGAACACAAGCAAGATTTTATGCCCTATAGGGCTCCAGTCGTACCGAACCTGAGAAGGTTTTTGGAGTCGGTTTTGAGGGTCCAAATAGCTTCTCAGGTTCGGTACGACTGGAGCCCTAGGGATGTTATATGTTGTGAGGGTCCCAAAGGTCCAGGTATAGCATTTATGGCCCATTTTGCGTGGTTTTCGCAAATGGGCGTTGATTCCACATGGTGGTTTTAGGATGTTTCAATACCCAACATGAACATGACCTTTGCCTGGAAAACAGCCGGTACTCTACATCCATGATCCAGGTACTAAACGATTCCTACATCCACCTGACTGAAACCTTGTGGTACTTCTATGTGCCTCAGGTTGCAACGTGCTCCTGCGGCGACTGGCTGAAGAAGCGCCACAGAGCGCGAGTGGCGCAGTGAGTGGCGCTGTGTTGGGGCAGGGTGTTCCGGCGGGCGTTCCGATGGGTATCCCCATGAGCGGGCCTGGAGCGGGCGCTATGCCTGGAGGACCTGGTCCACCAGGCGGCGCCAGCTCATTCGGGTTGGGGCCGGCCACAGGTGGAGGGATGTCGATGCAACAGCAGCAGATGTCCATGCAACAGCAGCAGATGGCGATGCAACAGCAGCAAATGGCGATGCAGCAACAGATGCAAGGCCGGCTTAAGTCCGTGATGTGGATGAGAGGAAGAGGGAGGACATGTCAAGAACTAAGAAACACTGATTGGTGTTTAGAATGTGTTTAGGTCTTTCTGCAAGAAGGGAATAATGGACACCCCAGAAATATCCATTGTCTAAGCGTCAGACAACCCAGTACGTTTTGTTGCCAGGCAGTCCATCCTTCACTGACTACCCGTGATTCACCCGACAAGAAAGCAACAATTAGGACAAATCCTTTGACTTCTAACGACTTACCCTACACCTCCTGGCATCCACCCCAGTCCCACCTAACCTCAGGTTCGGTACGAAAACGGAGGCCTAACGACCTACACGAGGTTATAGATGATTTGGTTCGACGTTGATGTTGGTCTTAAAGGAACGCTTCTTGCGAACCCAGTTTGCGGAGCCGTGACGGCCGGCTCAGAGGCGACCCCCCCCCCCGAAACGGGGGAGGACCAGGGACCCGACCGATCCGCTCACCCCGTCCGGTTCGGGTCGTTGGGGATCCCGGTCGACGTTTGGGCGACCAGTGGAGACCAACAGCGTCCACGGATCCGTCACCGAACCGCTCCGCGGATCGGATCGTCCGCGGGGGATCGGTGGATCCCTGGGGATGTCCAGGGTTCGGTACGAGCTCGACTGGATCCCTAAGGATCCATGGAATCGAGGCGATCGGTGCCGCTGTCGCTGTATGTTCCGGATGTCGAGACATCGAGGCTATTGGAAAGGTGGGCCACCAGGACCAGGACCTCCTGGCATGGGCATGGGTCCCAAAGGCAAAGGAAAGCCTGGTTTGGGTGCCTTGGCTGATGTGTTGGAGGACAGCTCATTTCTTCGGCAAAAGAGGACAGCTTTGTAAAGATGAAGTCATGCTACTTCTTCAGGATCTCCTAAGAATGTTCTCAGTTCTCAGATCACTTGTCCTTCTTAACTCCTGACACTATATTGAATTATTGTATACCTAGCACTTCCAACGGGTGCCCAATGGAGACCTGTAAGTAGGGTGGGGTAGTCTATTGGACACCCATTGGATGACCCTGGTACTGTATACTATTGTCACGTTCTGCTCGTCTTGTGTTTAACAACCAGTCGTTCCATGTCGGGGTGGCGTGGTGTTCCTGTGTGTTGCACATCCACCACCTTGCTGGTGACCTTTGAACAAGTTCGGCTGATCCAAGTTGATTCATGTTCGCCTGATCCGGGTGACTCTCAGGCCCCAAAGGCATGAAAGGCTACGGGAAGATGTGAGCTACCGGCGAATCGGCTACGATCTGAGTCCTCAGGACTCAGCAGTTGCTCCTGAGATCGAGATGAGGAAACAACTCAACAAGTCCGTCCAAACCGGGACTCGTTGGATGTCGTTGCGACCCCAACAAAGCCATGACCCGAACAAACCCGTTTGGCTGACCTCGTACCTCCGAAGCGGTTCGGTATGACTGGACCCGAACATGGCACCGACCCCAGTCCAACCGAACCTCAGGTTCGGTACGAAAACGAAGCCCAAACGGGAAAAGAACATCAGAACCGGTCCGACGCTTGCCACCATTTTGTTTGAACCGAGTTCCAGGGGTCTCGGCTCCGGGACGCGTTTCCGAAGTCGAGCGTGGGGTGGGGGGAGCCCGGTGTTGGCACGGTCTGTGCAGCACGGTTCGCTTCTGAGCTGCCGAGGTTGAAGGTGTTCCCTCAAGGTGAAGGTCCTTGAACTCATGGGCCAACGTGGATGGTAGGGATGGAATGTAGGGAGGACCATTTTCTCTCCACAAACAGGTGGCTTTCCATGGTGTTCCACCTGTTCTTTTTTTTCAAGTTTTTGTTCAGGGAGTGTAGTATATTTGCTGTTAGCCTTGGTCCATGGATGGCTTCAGCTTCCTTGCCAAGAGTCTGTTCCTGGAGCCTAGTTAGTATAGTGTGTGTATGGATATGTAAATCCTCCAGACGCACGGTCCATGAGTAGTCATGTATATGGTATGATCTCGAACATGCTGAGGCGCGTTTCGCCAGCGAAGTCAAACATCTTGAGATCTCAAGAGAGTCTACTGCAGGCTTTTCTTTGTAGAGCTACGGTGATGCGCTGAAGTGTGGCGCCCATGGATTCATTGCATTCGAAGAGAAATCGAGTTGCGCCACTCCAATCGCTCCGGAGAACCACCCCGGGCAGATCGTGGTCTTCGAATTTCCGGCGGGTTGAAGTCCTTTTAACGCGGCCATGTGCACCACGGAGTCGTCGATCGCCTGCGTTGTCGGGGCATTGGTATCCCCACGAAACAGGAACTGGTGGAAAAAGATTAACCTCTGAATTGTTTTGGCGTCAGCGAAGGGGGTCAGCGAAGGAATCAGATGACACCACTCCATCGTTGCCCATCGTCAGCTCATTTCAGACATATCCTTATCCAGACAAGTGTCGTGCACTTTGTCTTCCTGAAAGACAGCTCTAGCATGCAGGGATAACAGATGCCTTTTGCCTCTACCTGGACCCGACGAATCGTTCGTAACGGAAATAGGACATGACCGTCGACATGTCCCTACAAAAAAGGTATATATATACCTAGTAAACCTAAAGTATGCAAAAAAAATGTCGTTTCAGAAAAAAACAGTTTTTTGTTGAAAATGTATTCTTTGTATAACAATTACCTTTTTGGATTTTGGTGACCTTTTGTTATCTTTTGCAAGCTTACTGCTGTTTGTTTGAGAAATCATGGGACCATTCTGTCTGAGATCTCCAGTCTGGAGTTGTGGGCAAATGAATAGGGTGCCAGTACTTACTTTCTGTACACAGAGGATGTTGCAATCACCAGAGGGCAATTAGATGATACATGATGCCCCCTGTGCACAAATTGCAACTTCCTCGTTTTGCAAAGATTGCTTTGGAGATCCATATCGCCATCGAAACCATTTCAAAGTGGTCGAGCTCTATCTATTTAGTTCATAGTCATGGTTAGAGTGGCCAAAACTTCAAGACGTTGAAAAGCTGCTCTGCCTTTGCCCTCGAAGAACTTCGAAGCGAAGGCCCTGGAAATCGACCGGACAGAAGCCAATTTTACTGAGAGCATGCTGTGTTTTAGATGTGTCAAATTATCCCAACAGCTTGTCATGGAATGCCTTGATTCCATCTTGCCTGGAAGATTCGGATGAGTTGCGGTGATCATTCAAAGCTGAATAATAGAGAAGCGCTTGGGGCAAGGGAAAACAGAACCTAGCTCGATCTGCAATCGCTGAGATTTCCGTTTTTTTCAGTGGACATTTAAACTTCCATGCAGAAGTGGCCGAAAAACAATTACGGAATTTACCGTCCAAATGATGGAAATCACCGGAAAAATTGCGGAAATTGCCGGGCACGGTTTGGATGTTTTGAATGTAACTTTTTGCTGTTTCAGGGGCCTCTGGTACATTGGTACATGCAGGTTTCCTTTGATGTGGCCACGCCTGCTCCTATCAACTCCTTGGTTTCGAGCTGCGCCACTCTGTGTGAGGTGAGGGCTTTGAAGGCATGCCCTGCCCGACATGATGTTGTGCAGCCCCCTGATGAGGAAGACACCCTTCTCCAGCAGTTGCAGGAGCAAAACACAGCTAACTCGCTGTAGTAGTTGTTTCGATTCCTTAAGAGGGGCTCGCACTGCGTTACAGGTTGTGTATGACTTCGGCCCAAACGCCAAATTTTTCTCACACCACTTTTGAGACGAGGGAAATTGTCAAACTGTCCAAATTTTGCGTGTCAGTTAAATGGCATTGTGCAGCCAACAAAGTTTTTATTATTGGGAGAATCAGCCGTGTCAGTAGACAGGTTGCAAGCAAGCAGGTGATCCTAAGGGCCATCGAAAGGTACGGTGTATCCTTGCACTTTCGCCGGAACCGACTCAAACAGCTTAAGTTTAGGTGAACAACTACCTTTTGGTGTAAGAAGAGGCTGGATTTGGGATTGGAAGCAGCTGAAAAAAATGAATATTGCATACCCTCCACTGGCTTGATCGCAGCAACTACAATTTTACAAAACAATGACGTTTCTTATTCTTGGCTGAGATGACCTTTTTTGCCGGAAAAAAACACGACTACATTTTTTTTGCATACTTGGGTTTTCTAGGTACCCATTTTCTAAGGTACGATCTGAGACTCAGGCTATTTGCTTGGAGTCCTAGGTAGCGTAGCGATGGCCTCCAACCTAATAGCGATGGCCTCCACCTAGTAGCTTCTAGTTACTAGACAACTTTATTAAATCCCTGCAATCCATCTCTATGATTACTGGGACTCGACATGTTTTGCCTTCCACACCCCTTCTGTTCTCACTTAAGCATTGTTTGCAGGTCCGTCGCCGAGGTGGGCCGGAGGGGGCAGAGGTGGGGAAGGTGGTGTAGCCCATTACCGGCAACAGTCGGCTAAAGATTATCACTATTTTTGAGAATGGCCTTTGCTAATCATTATATAATATATATATATATATCAGTATCATTGATCAGATGTAGCACCAGTTACATGTACATGACATAGATTGTATAGATGTATGTTTCACTGCAGCCGTTTGTGGTTTAGTTTTGTGTTCATTTCGATACCAGAGCTCACGCTTGGAGTGGAGCTAAAAGTGGGCCTAAGCTTCTACTACAACCTTTGGGACAGTGACTTGGGGTCACAGAGTTTAAGAGCCTAAATTCTCCGTTCATGGTAGCGGAGCCGCGGTTCTAAGACCCGGCTACCGTCTGCGAATCAAAGGTTGCCGAGCCGCATCGGCTCTGGCACCGGAGATCCACAAAACAAGCATCACTTGCAGGAAAAGCCGGATTGCTTCAATCCCTGGCTAGCAAGTCAGCATGGCGCAACAGCCAGGAGCACAGGCACCACAAGCCACAGACATGGCACAACAATTTGCACAGATGATGCAAGCCCTAGCACAGGGGCAGAGCCAATTGCAACGAGCAATGGCAGAAGCATATACACAACAAACGGCAATCACAAGGAACATAGCCACTAGCGTAGAAGTAAGAGACAGATCAGAGTTGAAAGGCATTCCAAAGCCTGACAAGTTCAGTGGACACACAGGTACCTGGGATTCATGGTACTTCAAGTTCAAGACTTGGATTGAGACAAGTCACAAGAATGCAGGAAAGTGCATTCAGCTCCTCGAAGAGCATCAAGACACAGAGATCAATGAGACATCTCTGGAAGATGATTATCCTGAAGGAGCCGAGCTTGTTTCAGCTCAGGCCCGACAGGCTCTGATCTCACTATGTGAGGGTGAAGCCCTCGAGATTGTCAAGAATACCTCCAGAGGTCAGCACTTTGGCCTAGAGGCATTGAGACGATTGATCACCAAGTATGATCCACAGAACCCACAAGCAAACTCAGCTTTGCTGAAGAAGGTCCTGCACCCACAACAGTGTGCATTGGACAAGCTCAGAGAGAGCATAGAAGCCTGGGAAAACATCAGGCGAAAGTATGAAGAGCGGAAGAAGAAAGCTCTTGATGATGACATCGCGAGAAGTTGTCTTCAGCAGATGTGTCCAGCCAAACTTCAAGATCACCTTGACCTCCAGAGTTCGAGACTCACTGACTATGCCATCATGAAGTCAGAGATTTTGGCCTACCTCGAGAACATCGAGAGCCGAAAAGAAGCAAAGACTGGATCAGCACCAATGGATGTTGACGCACTAGCCGCAGCTGCCAGCCAGATGCAAGCTTCACTTGCAAGTCTGGCTAAAGCCAAAGGAAAAGGCAAAGGTGGCTCAAAAGGCGGCAAAGGAAAAGGAAAGAGTCAAGATGGAGGCAAGGGAAACGACAAAGGTAAACAGAAGGGAAAAGGTTCTTCGTGGTCCAATCCCTCGTCACGGAACAAGTCATGGAACAAGAACGATTGGTATAAGAATAGTTGGTACAACCAAAACTCCAAGGGTAAAGGCAAAGGTGGCAAAGGCAAAGACTCTAAAGGTAAAGGCAAGGGTAAGAGTAAGAAGGTAGCTTCAGTTGAGGAATCTGAAGCCTCTATGGCTCAAGAGCATCAACCCGAGCCTGAGTATTCCGCTGACATCGCCACCCTCTTTGCCATCGAGATGGAGAAAGCAGCACCTGCCGCAATTTCTCGTGGAGCAGCCAAGGCAAAAGCTGAGACTGAAGTCAAGGCTATGCCAAAGAAGCCAGGAGCTGGAAAAGGTCGTCCTGGAATTGCAGCTGCTGGGATTGCAGTCATGAACCAAGCAATCCAAGAGACCATGCAGTCCAATCGCGAGCTGTATGAGAAGAAGTCTGAGACAATCCAGAAGGCCATCGAAGAGGCCGAAGCCAAAGGCAAAGCAGCCAATGACGCCATCTTGGAACAACAGGCCGAGATGAAGAGGCTGAAAGAACAGTATGAAGAAAAGGAGAGAGAAGCCAAGATCTTGCTGAAGAGACCAACTCCTCGCCGCGCCGCTTCGGTGCCGGCGGAGTCGCCAAGGCTCTCAGCTGATTTGGCATCAGGTATGGACCCAAGATTGGCCAAGAAGAAAGAGAAGAGCCGTCAGCGCGCCGAGCAGCATCGCGTTGAGAAGGCCCAGGATCGTTTCGAATCCTGGCGCGACTATGAGGCCAATTACCCTGAGGAGCTCGACTACTATGAGATTGCTCGTGCCAAGGGTACTGGTCGACTTCAAGCTTGGGATGATGAAGATGATGAAGGAAAGTTTGATGAGGCCCCTCAGCCTCGAGGTCGGGAAAAGGCCCAGAGGCATCGTGGCTACAAGAAGCCAGGAAAGGCAAAGAAGCCTGAGAAGCCAAAAGAGAAGGAGCCCAAGATCGAGGATCTCTCCACTCAAGAGTTGGCAGAGATGAAGCGGGAAAGCCAAACATGGACGGCTACTAGCCATCCAGCCCGCAGTGTCATCGACAAAGCGCTCACTGCTGCTGGGTTCAACCCAGAGGACTACGTTGTGATGAAGCGCGTCGAAAGCCAAGGCGAAGGAGCAACAAGCGCACCATCCTTCGCAGCTCCAGTCATGGAGAACATCAATCCCCTTGATGTGACTGAGATCGAGGGACTTGAGGAGGAAGAAGAATTTGAAGATGAAGTTGAAGAGGATGAGAATGGCACTGAGCCAGCTGACGATGAGTCAGATGGACAAGAGGAAGAAAAGGAGAAAGACACTGTGCCATGGCTCGATCACATGTTCCAAGAGCACATCCTCAGCTATGATGAATGGGTAGCCAAATGCACCCACAAGAACCGAGATGGCAGCAAGCACATGGTCTGCCGTGCGTGCAACAAGGCCCTGAGGTGTGACGACACCGGCCTATGGAACCATCATATGGCTTTGAATTGTTGCTCGCCAAAAGTCCTCAACCAGTGGGCAAAGGAATGGACGATCAAGCAGAAAGAGATGGGAAAGCGCATCAAGACTGCCAAGGGACAGCAAGGCAGCCCAACTTCAAAAGATGCGCCAAAGCATGTGAAAGATGCCGACATGGATCTGAAGCCCGAAGATGTGGCAAAGCATTTGAAGATGAAAGATCCAAAGCTTGAGACCGTTAAGAACGAACCTCCTTTCTACATGACAGCCCATATGCAGAAGATGATGGAAGAACAGGAGGAGGAAGATGAGGTTGGCCCAAAGACGCCAAAGCAAAGGCGCATTGCCAAGACACCTCCACCTCCTGAGAAGAAGGGCAAGACCAAGGAGGAACGCATGGCCTGGTTCAAGAGCTCGACTGAAGAGCACCTGGAGCGATTCCGTGGACCAGGATCCAAGCCAGAGGAATCCAGCGAAGCGCCAAGGCAGACGCTTCGGCTGAAGTCCCGGTCACGATCCCCGGGCAAAAGCCGAGCCGCTTCGGCTCCGGCTGCCTCCGAGAAGGGCCAAGGAAAGGGCAAGCAGAAGAAAGTGCAGTTGACTCGAGCTGTCAACGTGGCCACTCAGGATGCTGCCCGTGAGGCCAAGAAGGGAAAGGGAAAACGATATCCCACTCCCTCAAGTGAGCCTGATGAAGGCGATGAAGATCCACTCGCTCTCAGGAGTTTGGAGCTGGCATCCATGGAGACGCCAATGGCTCATCAGGTGACCTTGGATTCAGGAGCCGCGACCTCCTGCATCCCTGTTGAACTGGCCACCGCATTGGGCTACAAGCCTATCCAGCCTGAAGGCACCTGCAAAGTCTACAAGACTGCCTCAGGCGAAGTGGTCAAGGACCTTGGCAAGATCGATGCCATGGTGACCATCGGCATCGGCCAGAACTCCCTCAATGGACGTTGCTGTTTCCGGGTGATGGCGGTTGCAAAACCGCTGCTCTCCGCGGGGGCCCTTATGAGCAAGGGCTGGTCCATTCAGATGCACGGATCTGGTGGACATATCTCCCGAGACGGGACTAAGATCCCGATCTCGTTCAGCAACGGCGTCTGTTCTGTGCCGCTTGCATTCCACCCTTTCGTCCGGCACCGCAATGGGTAAGTCCGGTAGTGGACGAACAGGCCGAAGAGGCCGAGCTAGGCGACGAAGTGCCGCCTGAGCTCAAAATCAATTCTCCCATTCGCCCGACGCGAAAAGAGTTTGAAGAGCATGCTGTTTCACACTTTCCTTTTAGGTCTTGGTGTGAGGCCTGTGTAAGGGGGAAAGCTAAGGCAAACCCCCACAGGAAGATAGACCACACCGATGAGACAACCCCAGTAGTAACTGTAGACTACTGTTTCATGAACTCGCGGACTGATGACGTAGTTTTGGACGAGAAGACTCATGCACCAATTCTTGTTGTCAGAGATCGATGGACGAAGCATCTTTTTGCTCATGTGTTGCCCTACAAAGGTGTGACAAAAGGTCCATCGGATCCAAAGTACTTTTGAACGACATCAAGAAACTAGGATACTCCAAACTGATCATTCGACATGATCCTGAACCTGCTCTCACCTCCGTTGTTGAGGCAGTAAAGAATGGGTTTGAAGGAACCCTGATCATCGAGAAGAGCCCGAAAGGAGTCAAAGAATCCAAGGGAGAAATTGAACGAGCAGTTCAAACCTTGGAAGGACAAGCCAGGACTCTTCGAGCCGCAATCGAGTCGAATTATGGTGAGAAACTTCCTGACGATTCACCTGTTTTGACTTGGTTAGTTGAACACGCATCCACAGTCTACAATCTGTTTTTCCGATCCACCGAACTTCAAGACGGAAAGACCCCGTATTCACGACTTCGTGGACGTGAATGGAAAGTAGCAATTCCACCATTTGGTGAGGCCCAATGGACCAAAGGAATTTTTCTAGGAGTGAAAGACACTACCACATGAAGATAGTAGGAAATTCCACAGGCGTTTTCACAGTGCAATCCATTCGGAGAAAGCCAGAAGAAGATCGATATGATTCAGAGTTGCTGAAATCGATCACTGGAATTCCCTGGGATCCTCAAGCAATTCGCGAAGAACCAGCGATTGCAGCCCCAAGGGAACCAATCATTGCCAGTCCAAGTGGTGAAGCTTTAGTTCAACCACCGGCAATCGATGACAAGAAAAGAAAGCTGAGAAGACTTTACATCACCAAGAAAGACCTGGAAAAGTTTGGGTATACTGCAGGTTGCCCAGCCTGTGATGCCACACAGATTGGCAAGAGATCTACAGGCATCCATCACACCAACAGGTGTCGAGACAGACTTGAAGAGAGCATCAGAGGAGAAGAAGAAGAGAACCCAAGAGTAGCAAGACATGAAAGCCGAGTTGGAGAGGCAATCACTGGCATGCCACAACCCGTCAGTGGCAAGAGACCTCAAATCCTTCATGGATATGAAAGCAAAAGACCATCGGGAGTTCCCGATTCGTGCCGAGTGTTCGCACGACTTGACGTCGAAGCTTACTGTTTTCAAACCACCATGCCAGGAGGACCTGATTGGTCTACCGTCTGGCACCGAGTCACAAGAAACCATGCAAACAACGCAATCATTGAGAGTGGAGTCATGACGACAGACCTTCCACCAGAGATACTCAAATGGAGCATTACCACACAAGATGGACATTGTGACAGAATTGTGGTACGAACCAGAAGCAGCACCACCAACACCAGGCACAGCATCAGCTTCAGCATCAGGTATCCGCAGACCACGCGAACCTGAACCACATGGAGAAAAGAGAGAACACGAAGAACAACATGAACCAGCAGGATCACCCACAGCAAAAGCCAGAGTAGATAGAGACAAGAAGAGAAAGGCAGAAAGCGAACATGAAGATGAAACCGAGAGAACAAGAGACATCCAGAGCATTGAGATGGCTTTAGAAAGCCTAATCCTAGAAGACAGAGAGAGAGTGCTATCTAGCATCGACCCAGAGAAACCAGTATGTGAAGAGAAGATCCCACTGCCAGAAGAAATGGTAGAAGAGGCAAAAGACTGGTGGTACTATGACGACATCAGTGGAAAAGAGCTGCTACCTGAGAAGGTAGAGAAAGCCAGAAAAGATGAAATCGACATTGTCGAATCAATGGGAGTCTGGGAGAAGATCCCAAGAAGCAAAGTTCCAAAAGGAACCAAAATCATTGGAACTCGATGGGTAGATGTGAACAAGCAAGATGAAACCAATCCTCTCTACCGGAGTCGATTGGTAGCGCAAGAGATCAAAAGAGGCTCAGGTTTTGACGAATTTTTTTTCGCAGCCATGCCGAGCCTAGCAGCTTTGAAGCTACTGCTAACCATTGCAGTCAGCGACAGCCTTCCATTGGAGAAAGGCGAGACAAGAAAAGCAAAACAATCTTTTCTAGGATTTTTAGATGTGAAGAGAGCTCATTTCTACTCCAAAGCAACAAGAGAACTCTATGTTGAAATTCCATCAGAAGGCAAGAAACCTGAAGATGGAGATGTGGTAGGAAGATTGGTCAGAAGCCTTTACGGCACCAGAGACGCACCCATGAATTGGGAGCTGACCATTGCAGAGTTTATGAAGAAGCTAGGATTTGTTCAAGGCAAGTCCAACCCATGCATCTACTACCATGCATCCAGAGAACTTCGAACAGAAGTGCATGGAGACGATTTCACGACCGTTGGAAGTTTTGATGACATCAAATGGTTTCACACTTCAGCAGCCAAAGAATGGCAAGTTGTGGAACGAGGCATTCTTGGTCCATCAGGTTCACCAAAGGCAAGCCAACAGATCAGAGTGCTGAATCGCATCATCACCTGGTCAAATGAAGGCATTTGGTGGGAACCAGATCCAAGACATGCAGAGTTGATCATCAAGTGGTTAGGCACTGGTCAACCAGGCAAGGTCAAGACCCCTTTGGCCAAGCCAAGTCAAGAGGAACTCCAACACGAAGAAGTTCCGCTGAGTGCCGAAGATGCAACGATGTATAGATCTATTGCTATGAGAGCCGCGTATTTGGCACAGGATCGACCTGATCTGCAAACTGCAACGCGCTCATTGGCACAAGGTCTACAGAACCCAACATCGAGGCACTGGAATATGCTGAAACGATTGGCTCGATATGTCAGGTATCGACCAAGAGTTGCACAGTTGTTTCCAAACCAAAGCACCTGCAACCCCTTCAACATGTGGTCAGACGCCGATCATGCAGGTTGCATAAGGACACGAAAGAGTGTGTCAGGAGGCGTGCTCATGGCCAACAAATGCTGTCTCACTACATACAGCAAAGGCCATGTTTCGGGAGCATGTCAAATGCTTGGAATCGCATCAACAGCAAGATACTGGGGATTGTTTCCCAGCAAAGAGGTGACAATGGACGCTTCCGCTGGCATCGCCATGGGAAACCGTCGAGGTTTGGGACGAGCTAAACATGTTGACACTCAATACCATTGGGTACAAGAGCGCACAGCAAAGAAAGAGTTTCGTCTCAAGAAAGAAGGCACCGACCGAATGTTGGCCGATGTGCTAACGAAAGCTGTCACCGAGGAGAAAATGACAACAGCCATGAAAGGCATGAACTTCCACTACCTGGAAGGTGAGCATGAACTGACTTTGAAAGCGTGAACGGCTTGAGCTAGAGTAGGTACATCTTGGTCTTGAAGAGGTACTGAAGGGCTACGAGCTAATTCACCGAAGTGCTAATCCTGACTCGCTTAACTTCTGGGAGATGTTAAACTCGGGAGGCGTGATCAGATGTAGCACCAGTTACATGTACATGACATAGCTTGTATAGATGTATGTTTCACTGCAGCCGTTTGTGGTTTAGTTTTGTGTTCACTTCGATACCAGAGCTCACGCTTGGAGTGGAGCTAAAAGTGGGCCTAAGCTTCTACTACAACCTTTGGGACAGTGACTTGGGGTCACAGAGTTTAAGAGCCTAAATTCTCCGTTCAATCATCCACTGTTACTATATAGATATACAATATGCATCCATATGCTTCTATTGACCCCTGAGGCCACGCCAATTATTGAGCATTTCCAGCGGCAGGCTGTATATAGTGACCATTGACCATCCAGACGCTTTTTTCTACTGAAAAAAAAACTCACCGTCAAGGCCCTTCTGCCTCCGCTCGGACCACCAAGCAAGTTCGTGAAGAACCCATACTGTCCCGCTTGGTAGTGCGATACATCCCTAGGGGATGCCTGGGCCTATCCTGTCCGACGTGGTGACTGACATCACGTCAAAGCCCAATCCCCCCTATCAGAGATGGATCAACTTGGAGGCTGGAAGAGATGTCCTCAAAATGGAGCCATGCTTCCCATCCCGGTCACTCACTGACCTCATTTGACTGGAGGGTTTACTGGAGGTGATCAGACTGGACCTGAGAAACACCACTCAAAAACGGAGGTTTTCAGGACCGGGAATCTGAACCAGGTCGTCAGACTAGACCTATATAGTATACTGTATTTAAATGTGTGTATATAGCTAATTCTTTGGCATGGAACAACTACTGTAATACATACAGGCATGACCCTGTAGAAAAAGAAAGGGTATTAGTCCCTAGGGCTCCAACCATATCCTCAGAAGGTGGTTAGACCCCCCCCTGGCACCCACCCCAACCACCGAACCTCAGGAGGTGGGCCAGCAGCCCTAGGGAGTATCGGACCCGGATTTTCTTTCTCATGCACAACTCAGCTCTTGGCTCTGACACGCTATCGAGGTGAAGCATCGAGAACCGGCTCTTTCACGGGGTTTACTTGGTGCCTTGGGCGACAGCGCAGCGAAGTATCAAACGATGCGAAGCAACGTTCGAAAGGTGAAAACCAAAGGCGAAAGCGTTGAATTCCGTCCTATCCCGGAGGATTTTATGTAGGGAGTTACCTGGAGTCGACTCAGAACTCGTAATTACCCCAGAAAAGCGGGAAAACGTCGTACCCTATACCCTGTGGTTTTCTTTGGGGGGGCAATGTATGTATAACTATTTCCGGCCCCATGGTGTGTTTGGGTATGTTTGCTCTTCGATTTGTTTGCCACCCATTTCCATTCCTGGTCCGTCTCGCCATATGTGTTGTAGAGCGTTTCCTGGTCCTATAGAGCATCAAAAGGAGTGAGTCCTTGCTCCGTTCGTCGCTTCTTGTTCCTACTAGTAATGCCAGGAGCGCCCCGTTCGTAGGGTCCGGAAGTGTTTGGGAACGGTTGAAGTCACCAACAGAGGTGGGTCAGGACCCTATACTATCCCAGTTGGGTACCCCAGGTGACGGGTCCTAGTTCAGGTCACTTAACCTCTCTTGGCATGTCCGTTCTCTGTTTTGCTGCGCGGCCTGTCCAGGCTTGGTGGCTCCCAAGTCGCAGATCGCCAGGAGCGTGCGGATTGGCGTGGCGTGGTGAGACGGGGTGTGAGGGGTTCACGGACGGAGCGAGCCGGTTTGCCTTGCTTTTTGGGGGGGTTCACGGATGGAACGGAAGGATTCTCAAGTGGGACAGACGAAAAAAATTGCTTTAAATGATACTTCCTTATTCCCCAAATCTTGATGCCATGGTGGCTGTGTAAGCCCTTGAAAGAATTTGGTCATGTATACCATATATATGACATGAATTGATTCTACTCAGTCAGCTGCCCTAGTCGCGCCAGACAAGGCTTGGGACCCCAGATTCCAAGTGAGTTATGGTCATTCTGCCCAAGATGATTTATTTCCACATTGGCTAAGAAAGGTTTAAGTCCCCTTCTGGAGAGGAGCAATGAGTATATATACACATGTAAACACCTACCACTTCACTTGGGAAGCCAATTGCTGATAGTTGCTGTGTTGAGCAAGAATTCAGAACCATCGTAGCCGGGATCAGAACCTGCATATAGACGTGATCCACTTGATTTACTTCTTTGTCTTCGGTTTGGTGTACCGACCCAAACAATATGCACGTACTTTCGGCCCCACTTTCGGTATGAGTTCCTGGTCGACTGTATATCAAACTGTGAAACCGATCAAACATGATCGAACCATGTCGTGCGACTCCAGCGGTGATGGGGCGGTTCACAGATGGCAGGCCGGAGATGGAGCGCATGGACTGCGAAGGCGGGTAGACTGGGTGTCACCCTAAGACTGGGAAGACTCAGTCACTTCTGGTTGAAGGTCGTGTCAATGAGTGTCATGCAAATGGGAAGAGACATCACTTTGACGAAGATGGAAGTGGACTTTGTTTCGCTTCCAGATTACTGTAGTTGATTTCATTGCAACGAGCTCCAACTACCTCCTCAAAAGGTGCCAAGTGGCCCCTTCAAACCAACCCCCAAACACCTTACAACAAAGCTATATAGTTGGAACATGTCGAAACCCTTGAAGGGCTGCCTCACATTCTAATATCCCTAAGAATCCGGGCCAAAACAAGCAACAGCATCCGGGTTTGGTGAAGGGGCCCAGACCCCTGCGAAGAGGGAGAAGGTCCAACCCCTGCCATGGAGAGCCCGGACTCGGATTCTTGGTTACCAGGGGCCCAGGGGTCGCAAAGGTGTGTTTGGTCCCAGCCAGTGAGTGGAGTACCTCCAAGTTCGGCACCCCGTCTTGTGACTCCTGGTACCTTCTCTTTCGCCACCGTCTCGCCATCTTCGGCCCCCGCTGTCGTCGCCACCTCGTCGACCAGGTGTGGACAGGTGCCATCCGAGCACCACGGCCAAGGAGGCAGCTGCCAGGGCGAGGGGTCGCTCGCGACCACGGCGGACTGGGCACCATGACTCCCGAGGAATGGCCAGGGGTAGTCGACCCCAGGGGAGTGTAGGTTGTAAATAGATGCCAGTCCCATGTCTCGTGTTTGAGGATAGGTTTGTCCAATCCGAAAGAGATAGGGCTCCAAGTACCTACCGAACCTGAGAAGATGTTTGGGGTGGGTTTGCAGGGTCCACATACCTGGTGAGGAGGTACAACTGGAGCCCAAACGGGGAAGTCGAGCAGCGGACTCGGATGGAATCGAAACATGACCTTACAGGTCAATGACCTCATTTTACATGGAGTTGGTCATACCAAAACACGACTTAAGGAGGCAAAGGACCAGGTTGTAGTGGATCAGATTGGACGACTGAGTCGGGTTAAGTGTCATGTTCCTCCAACTCCATGGGACTGGAAGAGGGCTGCCGAGGTCCCGACCCCCCGAACCACCCCAGGGCTCCGATCGGCGTGGCAGTCCCATGGAGTGCACTGTGATTTTGTTCTCTTAGTTGCTGCCAATTCCAAAACATGTCCATCCCTAGGGCTCCAACCACCTCCTGAAAAGATGGTTGGGGTGGGTTTGGGGGGTCTAACCACCTTCTGAGGATATGGTTGGAGCCCTAGGGCATGTTCCCTGTCCCTGGGGCCTCCAGTCGTACCTCCTCAGAAGGTATTCGGACATATTTGGAGCCTCTAAATCTACCCCAGTCCCACCTTCTTAGAAGGTACGACTGGAGCCCTAGGGTGTGGTATTGGGCGTGTGCCCACTCCTGAAGAACGATACTTGTACGGTTCCAGCCTGGAGTCGACCCGTTCGTACCTCGGAAAATGGATCCACTGGTGTTCAGGCCATGTCCATGTTCAAGCGTACTTGAAGTCAGGTCCCGGTATTCGAGTCCACCTTACTGCCTTGTCGGTCTACAAGTGCCTTGTCAAGTTCGCGCCGGACCTTTGACTTCTCAGGCCCTCCTAGAGCGATGGAAAGCTGCTTGGGCCGGTCCTGGGCCAACGCCCAATGCGGACGAGAGCGGCTGCCAGATGTGTGCGTTTCCTCGTTCGCAGACGGGACCGGGAGAGCTGGTTTGTTTGGAACGACATGAGCACCGGCAGAGCGGACCTAATTCGTGTGGTCAGTTTGTAGCAGCTTCGGCTCAGCGGCTGCGGATCACACCCTGCCCGGTTGACTCTGTGGGTTGACCTCCCTCGTAGTCCATTCTGTTCATTTGTCGGTCAGGTTGATGTTCTCAGGGAAGTCTTTCGAAGCTTGGCGCCTGGATGAATCCTTGAGATGACTTGCCGCACAGCTCACATGACTTTGCCAGGGCCGTCTCGGTGGTTCCCAAAGCGCCGGCGCACCGGCATCCTGCCAACCTGAGACGTGTATCCGGTCGCCGTCCCAATGCACGCCATGGCGGCCATGACAAGGAAACCGGGGGGGTGTGCGTTCTGACCTGTAACAGCTCGGTAGCCCCAAGTATCACGAAGCACAGAGGAAGGCCTGCAACCGTCGGCCCCATCATCCACTGGTGCAACTGGGAATCAGATACACCCAACTTAAGGGTTCCACGTTTCGACGGAGCAGTTCTCAGCATCCACGTGGCTGTTTCCATCGCATCGCGTGGTGTTGGCATCCCCAGGTTGGCAAGCTGGTGTGAGGCACGTGGGCTCAGGGGGTGGGAGTGACGGGCAGTGACCGACTGAAGGTATCGACGGGCCCACTAAACCAACATCACTGAAACGAAGGTCCCAGCAGTCACGTTCGACGGGGTGCCGGTTCCGAACGGAGGAAGTCGGGGTGCCCAGCTACTCCACAGCCACTGGATGGGACGAACCAAACCACCCAACTCCATGTGACTGAAAACGAAGGTCGTTAGGATTACTTAGGCCTATAATCCTACCCAGGAGTCGTACGTGGATCACCTGCCCACCTTTTTTGGGGGCGGGAGTTGAGGACAGCTCGCTAAACAAGAAGCTCGGTACCCCAGTTTGGGGTGGTGAATGGACACCCCATATCACCCCATGGCTATCAATGGACACCGGAATCCGTGGTGCTGGGAATAACCTTCATTTATCTTTTGGAAACTGAGTAGGTGTCATGGCAGTGCATCGCTGGCAGTGCCACTTCCACCAAGAGTCACATGGAGGCCAGGGTGGTGTGGCTCCTCTCCTCTCCTCTCGTACCGTCAGGACAGTGGATGTCACACACCGAACTCCAGATGAACTGCTGGCAGATTGGAGTGTGTCCTTCTTTTTCAGGCTTGCGGACTGTAGCTCTGTAGCTCTACCAGCCATCTTCATGGCGGAGTTTCAGGCGTACTGAACTCGGATCCATTGAGACTCCGCTTAGACCACAACACCTGGAGTCGACCTGAACTCGCACCTCAACCAAAATGGGTACAGTCTTCCTGGGTCATGTCCTATAGTTTTTTTTCGGGTCCGAACGCAGTCGTCGAGTCATGTTCTCTTCCAGTCCTCGGCATGAATGCTGCTCGAGGCCCTGAACGCTGCTCGCAGTGTGCCCTTGGCTCGGGGCCTCGTGGACGTCATGTGACGGCGGGAGGAGTGTCCTACCCGGCTCGAGCGATTGAGAGCGCCTGACCCTAGGGCTCCAACTACCTCCTGAGAAGTGCCAGGGGGGGTTGTCTCCACCTTCTGACAATATGGTTGGAGGTGTAGGGAAAGTACGTTAGGGCAAGTGGTTTAGTGTGTCCCTCAACGTGACCTTTTAGAGGGGTCCCAGCCAACCAAAATAGAATCCTTTACAGGCTGAAGAGTGACCTCCAAGTATCAGATTCAAGAACCCAGCCCATGACCCTCAAGCTACATGACCCTCAAGCTACAGCCCGACCTGTCCCTCAAAACCCTAGGTATTGGTTCGGGTCCAAACTCCGGACCCCTCCATATGATGAGGGTCCGACCCTACTTACGAGATCTTAAGAGGTCCATGAGCGTTTGGGATACTAACACCTTTGGCAAGCCGACCACGAGCACAGAAAACAAGAAAAAACAACACAAACTCAGCAGGCGTCATGTGCTGTGATTACAAGGTTTGGACAATTGCTCACTCGAAGGTGATTCTATTTACCGAGGAACGGGACAGTCTGTGGCGGTTTTTGATTTTGATCTTCACACGCTTCACAAGCATCCCAGCATCCCAGAAGTTCCAATCAGCCTAAATATTGGCGATGTTTGTGTTATACTTTAACTGAAGAGGGTGGTAATTCTTGGTTCCCCTCCAAGGAACTCCTGAGCCGTTCTCTGGCCGCCGAACACGGCCCAGGTCGTCCATACGCGTGAGGAGCGACGAACTGCCTGGATCTCATTTGGACTGTCCAAGTTGGGGAAAAAACACAGAGTTGTTCATTGGGCACCCGAAGTAGGGATTGTCCTCATCTTTCGCCGAATTGAGTACCACATGGTACCATCATGGTACCATCACAACGGCATGACAACCGTATGTGTAGGCGCGCGCATTTGACCACATGTGCGGGCATGATAGCGGACCACCATCATCACCATCTACATGTGTTCATGTTCAGTGGAGACATGCAGTGTTCAGTGACGGGCTGTTTACATGGCAACAGCGTACGTACATTCAGCCGGCGAAGATACCATGTATCGGCGCTCACTTGGTCTGTGAGAGCTAGACCACATGATGTTTGAATTCAACAGTTGAGCGGCTTTTCACACAAGGACCTAAAACCGAATAAACGACCAAGCATCACATAAAATCGATATCTTGAAACCCACACTGACTGCAATGAGTTCAAATACCTTGCAAAATACAAGGAGCAGCAGGCTCGAGTAAAGGTCTTCACGGTAGTGGTCTCAGCCGCTAAAGAAAATACACAGTGACTCAGACGGAAAAAAACTCACGAGGCTCAGACGGAGATACCGGCAAGTGACTGTACACGGACGAATCTATGCACTACACTCGCAAAAAAATCTTCATAATCATCTTTCTTGTCAGAAAGTCCATTCCAGCAGTCACAAAGGGGTGCTTAATGGAGGTTAGGGGTGCCCAGCTACTCCACTCACTGGCTGGGACCAAACACCACCCAGTTGTGACTCCTGGTTAGAGGAATTTTCACGGTTGGCAGCTCTGAAAAGTGAAATCAAATCACAGTTCTACACGGCAAGTGAGTCTTCATGATCATCCTCTCTGAAAAGAAGTGCATCAGAGGAAAACCTTGAGTAAGTGATATCAGTTCTGATATTCTGTAATCACTCAGCTCAGCAAGGATAAACACCTACCGCATAAAACTACTCGCACTGCTACCTCAGGCTTACCTGCCCTGCCTTCGGTTCTCACGTTGTATGGCCTTCCGGCCCTGGGCTTTCTGATGCAAACACAGTACGCCAACCACGTCCACGGGGCGTGCAGATGTGACCTGGGAACCTGCCTCCACGAGTGATGCTTCCTCTGAGTTGCCATCTGCCTCTATGGTTCAGGAGCCTGGTGAAAGTACTTGCCCTCCAGAAGTTTTGGGGCAGATGAATGAAGAGAGATTGGAAGTCAACACCTTGACTCAGAAAAGGTTCAAGTGGGGAGGATGTCGGCTGCATGAGAGAAACCGTCTTCAGGTTCACCTCTGCAAGAGCAGGCCCAAGGCTGGCAAGATGCAGTTGCGTTGTAGCAGATCAAATTTGGCGAGCCAAGCTCGGAAAGATGCTGGTTCCAGGGGCCTTTTCCTAGGCACACTTTTGAGCAAACTCCCTGATCACTTAAAGCAAGACTACGAGTCTTTGCAAGTGTCCCTCGAACGGGGGTCCAGACAGAATGGCTGACACTGTGCCTCGCGGTGATTGCAGAAAGGTCGCTGATCGTTTTTTGACACTTCCTCGAGAGATTGTGGAAATCCGTGTTCTTGCAAGATAATGACCATATGTACTTGTGAATGCATCATTTTTCTCAGCAACCATGAAAGGTTACAAGCCCGCGGAGCACGTTTGCTCTTTTTGCAAAAGCCCTGGCCACCATGCGACTACATGTCCTTAATTGGCTGCTCAGGTGCTGAAAGCTGCTCTCAAGCAAGAATCAGCGAAGCTGCTTCACAACCACTTGCCCACGGTTCCGCAAAGGAATCGCTGGTGCTTGAAAAGAGCTTCGGGTCAACGCTCGTGCAATGGTGCTTTCAAAGCTTCCGTTCGTCTTCTTCCGGCAACTGTGTGCGGCTCACCACGAGCGGAAGGGGACGAAGGACCGCCAGAGCCAAAGAGCCAACCGTGTTCAACGATGCGGTGAAATAGCTGCTGCGTCCAAGGCGTACAGAGGCGTTGAGGAAGTGATCCGAGTCTGGTGGGATCCGTTGCAGAGATCTTTTCGTTGATACTCAACCCAGGAGGACCTAAGAGGTTCGCAGATGTTTCTTTTTTCCGTTGGCGTTGCAACCACACAGGTTGGAAGGACAAACTTAGCTGGTCTCTTCTACCGCCGCTTCGAAAGCCCATCGTTCATGTCTGGCGAGTGGTGAAAGCTTGCTTCGACTTCCACCCCGAATGTTGCAGACGTAGCTCGTTCCTTGTCATATGTTATAGTCGTTGAAGGCCGGGTCGTTGAAGTACAGTGGCAATGTGTACACTCGCAAAACACTCAAAAACAGAGATGTGACACATACTATAAGGACTCTTGGTTTTGAATGGCTCGCGTCGTGGCTGCGTGCAGAAGCCTATCTGGAGTGAGAATGCGTATGAGTACAGGCAACTGACAAATCCCTGCCCCAAACCGTGAAATCATCAGAGATCTATGGGGAACTCCTGTTTGGAAAAGTCGTGCGTCCCTTCAGAACGCAGGCGAACTGTGCATCTTTAGAAACCTGACCTTACTTGGAAGATGATCGGGATTGCTGAGGGTAGCGTTGCTATTGTGACATTTTGATTGGGTATTTCAGTTGCTTGTCGCTGCAGCCAGACGGTTTTATGAGCGTCATCCTTGCTGTGCCATCCCCAGGACACCAAACCTGACAGATGTGGCTTGAGAATCCTGTGCTTCCATGACCCTGGAGAACACTCTTGCCCCAAGGAAGCTGGAATTCGGGATCCACTCCATCGCGGACTTGAAGCAGTTACTGCAGGACGCACTACCGGGTGCCAACATCATGGCTAATCACCATGTTCAAACGGATTCAACCCACAGCTTGGAGTCGCAAGCAACACATTGCGGGATTGCCAGTGTTCCAAGTGTTCCCATGGCTACTTGCATTTCACGGAACTTCCGATTTCACAGCCAGAACACTATCCAATGGCAAATACGCCAGCCTCGTACCAACGCGCTCCATCGCCGAGTCAGTGTTCCTGAGTTCCTGACTCACCTCATCCAGCAGCTACGGGAACAACACGTGGACCTCGACGGCACTGCGGATGCACTCCACCGCTCTCCGGGCCGCCCCAGGACCACGACAGCTGTGGCCGGTTCGCGCTCACAGCGCAGGACCGAATCCGAGCGGGGCCAGCTTTCCTCGAGCAGCGCTCCATTGACAAATACTGCAGTTCAACGCGTGACAGCCCAAAGGACTTCATACGATGCCATTATGGCAGAGGCACACCATGGCAAACGGTCCGGCTGGATGAAGTCGCTCGTGCCAGAGACAATCTCTTGGTTTTGATATCAGTGGTCACTCCATGTCATTCCTCTTTGTCATCCCTTTTGACTTTCAGGGGCGGCCACGTGTTGTTCCTCCACCACAACGTGGGCGACACGTGCCTCCGCCGCCTCGCACTGTGAAGTGTTTAGTGCGAGAATGGTGCCCTAAACGAAGGCGGGGGCCTTTGGCGCTCATTTTGAGCAAGCCCGTGTCAACTGTCACACCTTCATTAGCAATTTGGGCTCACTTCGCGAAATCGTGCTACGGTGATACGTTCGCCGTTGTTGATTCACAAGGTCCGGTGTGTGTGTGTGTGTGTGTGTGCGTGTGTGTGTGTGTGTGTGTCACACCCTCTGGGCTCTTGAATTGCCAGCGCTCGACGTTGGATTTGTTTGTGTTCTTGTATTTTTGGTTTGTTTCTTGGTTGACAGGAGACACAGAGAAAGACCATGCAAAGGGAGTCAGTTGAGGAAAGGAAATGCTCTGACTCCAAGAGTTCCACCTTCTGCAGAGCCTGTCCGGACTTGGTCTTGCAACCCCCTTGACTTCAGAGGTACGGTCTAATGATGCTGGTGGCTGGGACACTTTCAGCCAAAGCCATAGAGAGTGGGGGCAGAGTGGGGAGAGTGGAGCTGGGAGAAGACAGAAGGAGGGGAGGAGGACAACAAGAAAACAAAGAAACACAAGGTCACCGTGGAGGACTTGGAGCAGAAATTTGTTTCAATAGTGTTGTTTCATAGATAAGGGCACTTAGTTTATTAGCGGGCTGGACAGCTCCATGCAATTGGACAGCCCCACACAACTAGATAGAAGCTCTTGGGCTGGACAGTCCCCATGTAACCAGATAGAGACACTTGGGCTGGACAGCCCCGTCTAACTAGGTAGGAACACTCGGGCTGGACAGCCGCGTTCCACTGCTGTCCCATTGGGGATAAAACTTGTATCACTTCAGTATGAAAGTTCTGCACATCGGGTGTGACTTGAGCGTGATTTTCTAAAGTAGCGTTTTCATTGGGGGAAAAGGCGTCCAAGAATAGGTCAAGCGCGACCCGTCAGCTGCATGCCCCACTTTCAAAGGTACTTTGGAGGGTCCAGGTGCCTTCCTTCCCTTCGGTTTCCTTTCAGGCCGCCCTTTGGGCCTCCAATGCCGGGCGCCATGACGATGCGCTCTTTGTCGGTGCCACCCAGAGTCACGGAGCCGCGGGGAGGAACGGATGACCCGAACACTTGCATGGGCCCCTGAAATGGATTTAAATATTGACCCCCAGACCACCTGTGTTCTGATCGGCAAGTGCCGCAGTCCCAGGGTCAGGTCGTGTTTGGAGATGGCCCAGTGAACTCAATGTGCAAGGTGACTTCATCGGAGTAGTTCGGTCCCAAGCGGACCTATAAAAGTTATCCTGGTCAGGTGATTATTTATTTTCCGTGTAGTTGAATCCTCTTCTGGCGTTTTCTTCCTCGTTCCTTAAGCAAATCCAAACTATCGCGCACCTGTTTTTTGTTGGGGTCGTGTCCTATTTTTCTAGGGTTCTTGAAGTCGGGTCCAGGTATTTACCACCCAATGACATGGGAATCTGCCAACTGGCAGAGACGCCCTGTTTTTCGTTCAAATGTTTGGGCCTTCTCCCTCTTCGTCAGGGTTTGGAACCAAGCCCTTTTCCGGTGGAGAGGGCTGCGAGGCCCGTTGTTTGTTCAATGGCCTACCCAATTAGCTGTTGTATACACAGACCTGTTTGGGATTGGAATATATGCCACGCCATTGACTTCTGAAGTCAACCACCAACTGATCAACCAACATTGCAGTCCGAGACAGTAGAACCTCCATGCTTTGAGGGGGCCGGGGGTTCAAAGATGAACAACGAGGAATAAACCTGGTTCTTCGACTTTTGATGCAATGCTTTTGAGGTCACGAACAGGCCTTTAAAAGGTCACATAAAAGGGGAAACTGCCTTTCAGATCTCCATATTTTGGTGTTGAAACATTTCAGCACCCAGCAGAACTCAGCAATCAGTAAAATTGATCGATGGTTCAAGGAAGACTCAAATCAATGCACGCGTTCTCGGTCTTTGGGTCTAAAAACAATCATCCGGTGCTCTGCAACCATTTTTTGTTGTCCCCTTGGTTCCTGGGTGATCCCATGCCAAGAAGGAATCGTGTCTTTTTTTTTATCGGTTCCGAAGAAGCAAAACCAAGTGATGCAGGACCTTCAAACCGACCATCCTTGAGAGATGAGGATGAGGTCACTTAGGGTCACTTAGTCCCTGTACAGGTCGCTCGGAGACTCCCCAAGAGGTCACTGACAGAAGATTCTGCAGCTAGAGTCTTTGGACATTGATGAAGTACAATAAGATAATACCTGTAAACCTGATCTCTATTTTGAACCACTAACCACCCCAAATGTGGCCTGTATATGAAAACAGGGGTCAACTCGGTTCTATAGGTGTATACATACATATATATATATAAATAATATTATATGCATTTTTCCCACAACATGTATTCCGCTTTGGTCGGTGTTCACTTGCTCCACCACTCGCCCCACCGGTGCTCTGCTCCCAAGGCCCTGCAGAGGCGGCACGACTTTTGGAACGCCTTCCTGCAACTCTGCGCTGCGCAATACGAGTCGCGGCGCGGTGGCAGATGAGCAGAAACCAGGGGTTGGGCAGGGGTTGGTAGCCACAGCAGCGCCCTAATAGCGCTGCCAGAGTGTTGAAATGATCTGGTTTCAGGGCGACAAAATTGGAGAGGTTTCAGAAGTGGCTTGAACTCACATACGTTTGAGTGGTGGATGTTCTTTTGTTTAAACTCCAATTCACTAACATGGAAGTGGACAACCCCGCTGTTTGTAAAGGACTCTTATTTTCCACGGGACCATTTTCATCCATGTTCCAAGTGCAAGTGAGTGAGTCAGAGTGTGGCAAGTGTATGTCTTTAGACATGCCGGTAGACATGCCATATTTGCCGATCAGTTGGGGTTTGGGGGTCCATGGGGGCATGGGTCCCATTTTCTAATGTTTTAATTACTCTACAGGGCCCAGGTGAATAAACCACTTGCCCATTTTTTGGAGGCCTGTTGGTTCCGTGGACCATGGATACTTGGTCCGAGCACTCTCGTGTCTCCCTGGACTCGACTTCAAAGAAGAACCGATACCCTCCAAGTCAAGTGCCTCGTTTCACTGGGCCCACTTTTCTGCAAACCAAAATTCGCAACAGGTGACCTCGTACAACTAGGTCATTTACAGCAGGACCTCGCAAAACTGGTCCTTTTTGGAGGTGGAGGGGTATACTTGCACACATTTGTCCTACACATCTTTTCCGAGGTACCACTGCAGGTCCACTGCAGGTCTGAGAGTTGTTTGGGTCTCTGAGGGGACCGCGGATCCTGCTTTTGCGCCGAATCGGCTGAGGTTGTGCTCCTGGCCCAGAACGCAGACCGTGTGCAGAAGCTCTGTTTTTGCTCGGGGTCCCATCAAACAAGTGGTAGAGACACGCAGGACTCATGGCCTAGGCTAGCCTAATCCATAGGTTTCGAGGCCGTATTATCATTAATTAAACATATTAAACTATATTAAACTAGGGGCTCCTGGCCTTACTACTAGGAGCAAGAAGCTACTAGGGGCTCCTGGCCTCAGCTTGTTGGCATGTTTTTTTTTGTTAATGTTTTTTTTTTTTGCGTGAGTTGCTGTGAACTAGATGTTTAAGGTTTTGTGATGTTTGTCAATTGATTATCCAAAAGTTGTGAAACCTTTTCATATGGGGAGTTGTTCATCAACAGTCGACAGTCTGCTCCCTCATTGGACGTGTGGATGTTCATCAACGCCAGAGATACGTTTGAGTGGGTTGTAGGTGCGGCCAGGGGGAGGACAGATGCGGTTATGTCTGAACACCAGGAGTTTCAATGGGCTGCCCAAGTGGGCCCATTGTCCACCCAGACACCACCCCGACATGTGACCCTGGTATTTTTGCATATCGTTCTTCCTCTGGTTGTTCTCATTGTGGCCATCCGTTGCCATCCCATGACACTGGAACACCCAAACAGACCAACTAGATTCAGGTAAAACAGGCCGATCCTGTTAAAATTAGGAGGTTGCTCGGAACAGGTATCGCTTCTGTGTGAGAATTCGTTTGAACCTTGTGTCAGTATGTTAGCACTCCACCTTATGACTGGCACGTTTCCACGCCTCCGACACCCTCCCAGTCCACTACTGACACACTTCCACCCTACGACTGATACGCCCAATGCTGAAAAGGCAGCAGGCCAAACATTTATAGGCCAAGAAGTGATAGACCAGGAGTCACAAAGGGGTGGTTTTTAGTCCCTAAGCGAGTGGATAATGGGCACCCCAGGGGCACCCCTATCCTCCAATCGGCGCCCCTTTGTGACTGCTGGGAGACATATTTTAATGTGTGTTCCTCATGGCAAGCAGTGCAGCCGCAAGCCTGTTGGTCAAGCCCACCCATGCCCTTCAGAACACTCCAGTCGCGATGGTACAGGATGCACCGAAAATATCCCAAAACCGTAAAAGGATCGAACTTGGATGGATGTGGATCGAACTGGGATTTCTCTGAAACGATTCACAACTAGAAGTCTAGAAGTGTTTATTTGTTTCTGGTCAGTTCCACTTCATGGTACCTGGAGTCCAAGTTCGTACCTCAGAAAACGGGTACAGCCGTACACAGCAGTACCGGGCCGTACCTGCTCGATAGGAACGGTAGCTTGAGAAGACCCCGGGTCAACCACCCCGCTGACGGGCATAGCCATATACCTAGACCCTCCCGAGGCAATAATTTTTGCCGTAGGCTGTTGAGGCAATAATTTTTGCCGTAACTCATTTTTTCTGCCGTAGCTCAATCCCTGGAAAGTGAAAACGCCGTCAGAGAAGTGAAAACGCCGTCACAAAAGAAGAATCGCCGTTTTGTTTGATCTACCAAAGAGGATATTGTTTTGGTCCGTCCATACCCTGAAATTGCCTTCTCCTTTTTCACTTGTAAGTAGAGCTCATCGTTTTCAAGCGTCATGGTAGCACTTCTCAAGATGTTGCAGCCCTTGTCTAAGGTCTCGATTGACATCACGGCAGGAAATGTTCACATTTTGATCATGCAATGGCTGAAAGGATCGCTTGTGACATGTTGTGACAAGTCTTGCTGCCACCTTGAGTGACCCTAGACAGGGTAAGGGAACGACGCCGTAAGTAGGGGGAAAACGCCGTAAGTACGGGGAAAAACGCCGTAAGTACGGGGAAAAACGCCGCAAGTACGGGTAAGAACGCCGTAACTTTAAACGCAAAATCTTCTGCAACGCCGTGCAAGAGGTCGAGTTACCCGCAAAAACCGACGAAAACCCAGCATGTGACACTTCCATCAGCTGCCCACTTCACATGACTATGCGAGTTTGCTGATATAATAAGACGCCTTTTACGTTCAGTTGCCTTTCAAGCAAGACCCTACAATGTTTTCATACTCGCTTGCACTAAAACTAAAACGAAATGACTCTTTGAGGCGCATGGATGTGTGGACCAAAATTGCCGTCAACTGACCGAAACTGCCGCAGTTCATCAAGAAACGCCGTCCCCATGAGATCAATATGGAAGAACGCCGCAGAACGGAAAAAGGCGACGTTTCATGAAAACGGCAATTATTTTTGCCGTAACGAAGTTCCAGGTATATCTAAGGGCTCCTCCCCCTGGCACCCACCCCAACCATTTTCTCAGGAGATAGGCCAGGAGCCCTAGGGTACATGGAGTGTTTGGGCATAGCCACACAGCATCACATCCCATCTGGTGGCGAGTACGAGGCGATTTAAAGGACACCTCGAGTTCGGGCAGGTCCTGCTATAAAACCATGGGGTGTTTGGGCATGTCCACACCCCATCACATCCCACACCGTACACCGACTTCGTCCTACCTCCGAAGCGGTTCGGTATGACTGGACCCAAACCTGGCACCCACCCCAGTCCCACCTTCACCTCAGGTTCGGTACGAGGCCTCCGGAGGCCTAGCCGCGATCGTTTTCGAGGTCCATTGATGTCCTTTTTGATGGTCGATCTGGATCCATGAACCAATCGATCCCCAGGAGTTGCAGATCCCTGGAGCTGAGATCTCTCGTCAAGAGCTCTTGCGTAAGGTCCAATCCAGCCTCTCGGCTGAGATCCGGTGTGGGGTGCGGGCACTGCCAGCCTTTGTGTTTGGCACAGTTTGTTGGAGGTCAAGAGACCCACAAGAACAGGTAATTAGAACCGGTTATGGACTTTTGTTGTTGAGTGAAACTGAAGGAGTCAGTCAAGATAGTACGTCCAATGGGTGTTTTCTCAGGAGTTGAAGGCGATGTACAGTGGATTGAGAGTTGATGGCACAATCACCAAAAGGTGGTTTATATGGATCCCCATCTAAAAGACATCTTGGGGTTTGTGCCATCTACTCTGAAACCACTGTATATTGGAAGACATCCGAGAATACATCAGTGGATACGTCAAGGTGTTTTGGTTGTCTGTGTTGGCAAGGTGTTTGTCTTCAATCCAAATAGCCATCGCACGCATGCCGCATGTCTATTTATGTACATTTTGAAGATTTCCCCGGCAACGCAAACTGTGCACCAAATTGCAATGTGTTGAATATAGTTGAACACCCTCCAGGGAATAAACACGACAGAATAGTGGCATGCTAACCCATGAAGACCAGAAAAAGGACAAGATAAACAATACGCCTCATGAATCAACGATATGAACATGTTTCAACAATCTTAAACGCAAAGATGATTTGGCCAGAGTCAGCTATAAAATTCCACTGCCCTATTGAATGTAATCCCTATAGCCACTTTTTTGAGAAGAAAACACATAGAACCATATAGAAACAAACATGCAAACATCTGCTGCCCGGTCATGTTTTACATTTTATAGGAGCTTGATTTTGTGACCCGCTCTTCCAGGTAGACCTATAGATGGGCCTCCCTGGGCCCCTGCTTCTTTAAATCTTTTCTGTGGGGTGAAGGCTGAGTTATGACTATAAAATGCCATGCCCAACCACTACCCGCAATTCCCAAGGGGATACTTGAATAATATGTTAAATTGCAAGTTATAATATATCTCGCTTCTTTGTAAAACAGCCCGAGGTTGGAAAAAGAAAACATAGGAGAACAGCCGCTCTCTCACATCTCTCTCTCTCTCTCTCCCCCCGTCTCTTTCGGCTGAAACATCGACCGACGCGGCCCGCCTCTCCGCTCCAAGGATGGCGGGGCCTTCGCGCGCGGCGCCGGGTCCAAGCGTTGCGCCTGGAGCGCTGGTGCCAGGCGTCGATTCGACCGTGGCGAGTCGTCGCCGGGTGAAACCGGCGAGGGGTTCCGTCGGTGAGGAAAGCCAGTGACGCACAGTGCGGTCGGTCTGTCTGCGAGCTGGAGATGCCGGTGTTCAAAAGAGGAAGAGACCCACCAATTAGTTTCAGGGTATGTACTGTATGTATAAGGTATATAGTTTGGGTATACCATACATGGAATCTTTGGGATTGATAGACTTTTGGAACACAACTTATGTAACAAGAGCATGGGATGCGGAGATGTGGCTCACGTGGATGTGTGTGAGTGTGTGAACCTCAGCAGTTGAACACCTTCATGGGGTTGTGATTGTTCACTACCATTGTGTTTATTGTTCATTTATACAGAGGTTTTTTTGTGTGTGTGTTCTTTTTTTAATGGGTCATTGCACGGGTTTGGAGTGGAACACGACCATAAAGCTCAAAACCGGTTCTCGTTAGCTGGGCGCTGTGGTGAAAAAAAGCAATGTCTTCGTTTGTGGCTTGACCATCTTGCTAGTTGAAGTGGTCGTGTCCCCCCGTTTGAGATCTACCAACTCACAGTCGACAATCCACTATGATTCATGGAAACATGCTCCAGGCAGACCCCTAACATGCCTAACTATATATAATTTCCGCTGCGCTAACTACTGAGAGCTTAATCTAGGCATGGTGTAGGTGACACGTCAATTCGGTACTAGCCACCTCCCAATCTCCAAACCAACAGAACATCATGGGTGCCTGCCAGCTCTTCATGGGTGCCTGCCAGCTCTTCCTCAGGCTTTGTCTTCAAGTCAGGTGTCCGGTCTTGTGAAGTTGCAGGCGTGGCGACCCAGTGCGGCTTCAGAATCGGCGGCATTCCAACTGCGGTTTCGTTTCCACTCTCTAAAAATCCAGTAGTACCTTCTCAGGTTCGGTACGAAAACGGATCCCTAGGGACGGGAAGTGCACGAGAACAGGTTTTGGAGTAAGACAGATGCGCAAGATGATGGCAAGATACGCTTTGGGGGGTCAATGTAGCCATATATGATATGGCATACATGGTGTGTATGGGTGATGCAAGATGGGAATATGTTGTATATGTTCGTCCTTGACGTCTTGAAAGTAAGTCACTGATTAGTAAGGTTTTGAGTGACGTGAAGATGGACAATCCATTATCCATACTATATTTGCAACATAGATGTGTTGGGAGAGGAAGTCGACCAACTCCCGCGCTTCATGTTGCTCTTCACTTTGAACTCAGGGCCCTTTGCACAAGACAACCACCCTTCCCCTCGCACCACCCACCTTCTCTCTTTCAGGCATCTTGGCGAGGTGCGCGTCAGCGCGAAGTCCTTCGGAAGATGGGCTATGTGCCGCGGAGTGAAGGGTGATGTTCACTGAGTGGGAGGTGCCGGGAAATGGAAGGGGGCTCTGACCGTCAGGAGCTTCGAGGCCTGGGCCTGTCCGCCGAAGTCGTTCCAGGTACCCGATTCGGGCGATCGCCCCACGAGAGTCGTGTTCCGGGGGTTCTACTCCGAAACTCGGCTTCGATGGGAGAAGGGGTGAAATCATGTGAGCCACGGGGTGCAGTGGGTGTTTATTGGTTGGGAGTCAGTCCCCATGGAATCTGAGGATATGGGCCAGTGGCGGCCTGGGGGATTAGGTGGTATTTCATGGTATTTCGAGTGGTTTCCGGGTTCCTTCATGTGTTTTTTTCAGCAAACCCATCCACCAAAAAGGGCTTCGATCGAAGTTCAGTCGAGTCGCATCGGATGAAGCACCCAGACACGACCCCAGCGGACTGGAAGAAAGACCAACGCCAAAGACACCAGGACGCCGAAGGACCACGGGTCAGTCAGTGAGTCAACCAGGAAAGCTGGCCGTTTCTCAGCAGTTGGCTGGCCAGTGATGCCAGTGGAAACTGGAAGCTGTGTTCCAAGAAGCTTCCATCACTTGGTCCACCAGAAAAAAACAGCTCCACCGCCCCCCCTGCGGAGAGTTGCCTCCGGTCCTCCCAGCCGACGCGACCGAGGTGCTGCCCAGCGACCGGCGCCTCGCCGAGTATGGCCGCGCGGCCACGCAGCTGCAGGTGGAGCGCGGTCACAGACGGCGGGACGTGTGGGGCACCTGGGAAGGTCGGTGCTTGGGGAGGTCGCGAGAGTGGAAGTGTACGGTGGTTTGGGGGGTCAATGGGGCGGCATATATTCCTTACATTTATGGGATTGAAAGAAAAACCCTTCCGAACTCTGTGGTGCTTCGTCACCCATCTGTGAATCCGCGATCTCGAGTCTCTCGATACGACCGTGCTGGAGACCTGGAGGAATTTCCACATGACTTTTGGGCCTGGGCAGCCGAAAGCGTACCAGGACCCTCCAAGGTGTCTAACAGCCTCTTGGACAAGGTGTCATGAGGTGTTAAGCACCGGACGAACGGTTTCGGTGGTACATGTTGGTTTGGACCAAAAGTGCTATACCCATACACTCTATGGACTATATGCCGCCCATTGACTCCCCAAACCACCACCCTGTAGGAAGATATGGCAGTCCCATGGGTCGTGTCTGGGATATAGTTGTGAAGGTCTACATATCGCCCTTCGACGAGACGTCCCAAGAAGGGAAGTTCCGGGTCCTCAGGTCCTCGCCCCGGATCAAGTCCGAAACCATCGAATCCTTGCACCCGACCCTGAACCCAAGGGGGTCCGGACCCGAACCAAAAAGATCCAAACAGTATTATTATGACTGGAGGGTTCGGGCCCCGGATTCTGCGAACCATCGCAGCCTTCCCCAAAAACCTTAAAGAAAACCTCACACGACACCGTTCTTCGGCTCGAATTCGCTTCCACCTGGGCCGACCGCGGAGCGCGTCTTCCTCCGCTCGGGTGCGTCGGGGCCAGGCGGCGCTGCGGGGCTCGCGGCTGCGGCAGAAGCTTCGCTGGGCCAAGGAGGTGTCGGGAACCCCGACCCCGCGGAGGGGGAACCATCCCCGAGGCTCCGAAGGAGGGTTTGGGGTGCCCACATCCACGCACCGAGACGAAAGGCAGAAGCCACCCCTTGGCTCGTGACCGACTGTTCAACAACAATACGATGATTAATCGATTTGAATTGCCTGGTACAGTACTCTACGATTTCACTCCATGTTTGACACTGTTTAGTGGTAGACATTTGGATTGTAAAACATATTGTAAAACGTTATTAAAACATATTAAACCACATTTATTATAAAGATTGATCAACATTCTATTCTATAACTGGTCTCTTTGGAACTGGAAGGCCCAGGTTTGGTGAGCACAAACTAGACTAGATACATCTAGATACTTGCACCCATTTTTCGAGGATTCTGAACGGGTCGACTCCGCTTTTCGAAAGAAATCTGACGCTGAGGTCCAAGATGACGAGTGATGAAATGGAGGCCATTTGACTGAACTCCCCTAGGGCTCCGAACGCCCCATCTCCTCAGGTTCGGTGGGGACTGACCGGTGGGCCAGGATCCCCGGGCTCACCTGGGGATCGACTCGACGGACGCTCGATGGACGGGCCGATCGACTTGGGAGGGCAAAAGGGACACCAAGCAGTCTGATAGCGGCCTCCAAGCAGTTTGATTTGCCTAAGGGTCAACATGGAATCTGCCAGTTACATGTCAGGGTGGCCCCACGAACCGGAAGTTGGGATGCCCCGTGATGCCCACAGCCGGATGGGACGAGCCACAGCACCCTGTGAGTTATGCGGGTGAACTGGTTGCGTTCCTTACCTGGTGCATCTTGGAGAATCTGGATGGGAACGACTCACCTTTGGATACTTGATTTCACTGCCCACACTGACTTCTGAACATTCTTGACAACCGCACCCGCGCTGAAGATTGACCATGCTTGACATTGTTTGACCATTGTTCTGGTCATGGGATTTGCACACCTAAATTCTTCCGTGAGGTGCTAAGAATTGCATAGAATCTCTAAGAATTCTATTTTGCCAAAGGTTGGGGACGTCAAGCCAAGAGAATGATCCCTCAGCTCGATACCTCAGTCAGTCCCCACTGTGGAGAATTGAGTAGCTATTCACCCGTGTCCATTGGCTGACAACTTGTCAATGCTTAGTAGCCTCCAACAACAAAACTTAATCAAAGAATCAGAAGAATGGTTCAACTGACATGAAAAAGATCCACCCGACCGATCCAACCCCCCAGTATAAATTCATCAGTAAGCACCTGCCGTGAACATGGGAACTCATACCTCGGGAAAACCACAGGGGGTGGCCCAAGTTGTTTTGTTGGGCAGCAGGGACATGTCCGAAGATGTTTCTTCGAGAAACCTGGTTTTGCGAATCAGGTGATGTTGCTATGTTCCCTATGCCCAGAGGCTCATGGACCCTCAAACTGCTAATCCCGTCCCCCTAATAATAAACACGGCCCCCCCCCCCCCTAATAAGGAAACCTCGGTCGCATTTTTTTTAATAGGGGGTCCCTGAAATCGGGGTGTCCAAAATAGGGTCACCTGGAAAGAGTTTCAAAACCAAAAAGTAATCCAGGAAAATTTTATATAAAATCCTTTATTAAACTCATATCAAAAATGCAAAAAACCGCCAGATCGAAGGGTCTTCCTTTTCCCCTACAAAAACCTTCATTAGAATAGTGATTCTTCAGTAGACTAACAGCTAAAGCTTTCGAAAGGTGATGTCGCTGTGCCATGCGGTGTTGCGTGACCTCGGTGGCAAGTGCGTTTGCGTGAGTCCGTGCCATTGAGGGAAGGAAAGCCTGCTGGTGTAAGCGCGGCGTGTCATGGTGGAGTTTTGGGGAACCTAATAAAAAGAACTACCCCCAAAATCGACCATGTTGGTAGTTTAGTAGCGGTTTGAAAGGGCGGCAATTTAAAACCAAATATAAACCAAATTTAGGGGATCCGGCATGACTTTTTTTTAATTGGGGTCCGTTTTTTAATAGGTACTCGGGATTACATGTTTGAGGTCCAAAACCCTGGCTGTGAGGGTCAAAACCCTGGCTATGAGGGTCCATGAGCCTTTGGGTGGTGAACAAACCCCCATACCTGCAGTGATATGTTTCTATTTTTTTCCACCCTAAGAATCCGGGCCCTCAAACAGATAGGGTTTGGTTCGGGCCCGGACCCCTGCGTTTCGGTGTTGGGTCCGACTCTGCCATGAGGTCGAGCCCGGACTCAGATTCTTAGGGCAGGTTCCAAAGCAGCAAATTGCAGGACAAAGGACTTCTGGACCCCCAAGCACCCGACCCCATGCCGAGCGGATTGGCGAGAGGACTGTCCCGCCGTGGACTTGGATGAGCTCCTGGACGACGCACGACGGGTGGCGGAGGCGCCGAACACCTCCGCTCCGGGGAATCTCCGTGTGGTGGAACACCGGCGGTGCGGCTCGTCGAGCTGCGGAGGTGGCATAGGGTCGGAAGATGCGGAGCATTGATTGGTAGAATCTGCATGTACATATCTGTACCCCCTGCAGTCACGAGGCAAAAAAAGGGGTGCACATCCCAGAATTGACCTGTCTGGGACTGCCATAGGACTGCCGCCCCAACAAGACCCCTCTGGCACCACCCCTGGCCGTTTCTCGGCAGTCCTATGGGTCTCGTTTGGGAACTGGGAGGCGAGGGTGGCAGGTTTTTTGTTTTTTCTTTTTGTGGCGCTGTATGTGATGTTCCCGATGATTCATGGCCTTTATTTGCAAAGGTGAATCAGCTGGTGTCCTATCATGCAGCGCAGGCTTCCAATCGCCAAAACAGACATGTTCCCCCAGAAGTGTGTCGGCCAGTTTTCCCCAAACTCGACCCCAATCCCCAGGATCTTCGGAATTCGGGGATTCTGGGTCTTAAAGAAAACCACCTGGAAAACCCTTCCAACCGCCCCTGGGTTCTGTTCTTTCCTTTCCTGTCTCCCCTGTCATCCCAGCTTCGACGTCTCCGCGGTGTGGTCAGGCAGATCCCTTTGGCTTCTTGAGCCTTCCAAAGGCGGTGCCGGCGGTGCCTCGGCGGAGCACGGCGCAGGGGAGACAAGGTGGAAGCCAAACAGGGATGTCCACTGAAAGGACCACCAGGACCTTCCCAAGTCCGGTGGTTTTAGAAGCCTAACAGTGTGGTGAACCTGGGCACCGAACTTGTCACCAGGAAACACCTGGCCAGGAGGGTCCAGGTATAGGGATCCGTTTTCGTCCCTTCTCAGGTGAGGTGAGGACGGACACACTGTTCTGTAGGTGTCAGGAGGGTCCAGTCGTATACCGAACCTGAGAAGCTACGACTGGATCTATTTTTTGGAGGATCATAAGCGACCAAAAATAGGATCTGACCCGACAAAACATACCGGCATGGATCGGGGCTCTATTTTTCGAGGTACAAGTTCCGGGTCGACTTTAGTTCGAAAGTTTGGTTCCTTCTATCGTGGAATGCGGACGGCTTCGCAAGCGCTATAGCAGTTACTGCACCGCTCCGTGCTTCCGCGTCAAAAGGTCCGGTTTCGAGCTTTCCCAGACCATCCATGGGACTGGAAGAGTCAGATAACTACATTTACTCCAGCCCGATGACCCTGGCCCGTAGGTATATAGTAACTGAAGTCCCAAGGACGGTCTGGGTTTATATTGGAATTTCACCTTTGGGTCCCCCAGCTATTTTTGGTTGAAGGAATTACAGTGTACAGTATACTACCGTCCAATGACATGAGCATTCTGAAAACGACTCCGGACATACTGGCCATGCCACCTTTAGAATGTCCTTCATTGATTGGACAGGATGACATAGCATTTATTTCTGTCCTGATGTGCACCCCGTGTCTATAATATCATGTAGGGCGTATACATTCATGTTGCTGGTTAAACGGATGTCCATGATGTCATTTGCTCAGTGTATATAATCATAATCCACACGGATGTCCATGTCACTGGCCCTCAGTATAAATTTCAACATGGCACAGTGGCGTTTCGTCTCGACCTCATACACAGAAAGTCCTTTCAGCAGTCCAGAAGCCGAAGGAAGCAGACATTTGGTGAAGCCCGAGACGCCCCGAGACGTAGGTTTGGAGATGAAGCTACTTAGCTACTTGTTGGGCCCGAGACGCGTGTGTGTGTGTGTGTGTGTGTGTGTCCACCCCTGGACAAAGGGTTTCCTTCGACCACTCCAATCAGGCAGGGGGCATGGCAGCTGTTTCCCTAGCCATGCCAACGAAGCTACGGGATTCAGCCGGAAGGGAATGTGGACGCACATTCCTGTACCTGCAAGAAGAACTGTTTTTCAAGCTGTCCAATCTGATCGGTTTGCTTTCATGGTCCTTCATGCTACCACCCCCAAACAGGTTTCCTACCGCTGCCTTCAGCCGCCGAAGTTCAGCCGCGCTTCTGCAGATGAGTGAACAGATTGTTAAACATTTCAGTTGCGCTGACCTTTTCACCTTACGTTTCCCTCACCTTCCTTCCCAACGTGATACTTGCATTAACTGAAAATCCAAGTTCGAAGTGTGTCCTGCTCAGCCGTCCCACTCGGGTGCTGAGTGTGATCCCCTTCACAGGGGCGCTGTTTTTGCATGGGAAAGCAACCACCCCAACGCTCCACCGATCACTGGAACATCACAGGAAAGCACCGACCCCCTCTTTGAATCAACTGCCACACCGGCCGCCGGGCCAAAAAACGGTTTTTGACAAATCCCTCAGATTCAGAACTTCTGATTTCTGATTTCGGCATTCAGTTTTCTTTTCATGGCTTCCAATCATGTGCGTGTTTATGTGTTCGTTATGTTGCTGCCGCGACTCTCTCATCGACAGCACTCAAGGAAGGGCATTGCAACTCTTCAGCTTAATTCGAGATGCATGAACACACACTTACCAACAAGCTAACGCTTAGCACCACCTTACAACATCCTCACCACCGACACCAGCGCTGACCTTCAACAACAACAAGACAATACCACTCGGCATTTCTTCGCTGCCTTTTGCTGCCGCGCCGCGCCGAGCCATAGCTACGACCACGACATGCATTTTCCGTGGCCCTATGCTCACACCACGCCACCACCACTACCTACCACACAACCTCAACCCACATGGCCGATGTCACAGCCATCAACTGCACCCACCTATCCCTCGACACAACCACCGGCATACCCTCACCTCCAACCACAACCATTTCAACCACAACCGGTTTTATCCGCCCCTACTGCCACCGCACTGACCTACGGCACACCATCCACTTGGACTTTTGTCCCCCCATGTCACGTGCCACCGCAACCCACACATCCAGCTCCAGTTTTTCCGACAGCAGCACCTCCCCCATCCTACCTGCTGCCATCACATCATCCCGCACCACCAGCTGAACTTCCTCCCCCCACTACACTGACACATCCCCCTCCAACACAGCAACAGACTGCGATTGCCAATTATCCATCCACAGATCCCCAATGTGCCATCCCCCAGGGCGTTTGGCAACCCTATTCAGCCTTTCCCCCCGTCACACGACCTCCACTCCAACCGGGGCCCCCGCCACCGCCTCCACAAATTACCACTGCCTCAACGCCAACCCAACCTCCATTTCAACAGCAGCTACCATCGGATCCAACACCACCGATCCAACCCATCCCCACGACTGCCCAGGACAATCCACTACCAATCCAAAACACACCGGCCACCGTATCCCAACATTCAGCATCCCCCTCGCTGGTCTCTGCCACACCAGCACCGGGACCTTCAATACCAGCACCAGACAAACCTGACACCACTGCCTCACCAGCACCACAACCACCTTCCCCACAACCACCACACAGCAGTCGCCGCCACCATCACAAGAGCCGACGCAAGTCCGACCATCACCACAGAGGACGCCACCGCCACCGCCGCCGACATCGCCATCACCACTATTCCAAACACCACAACAAAACCAGGCGACGACGTTCGCCTTCCACATCCACCTACACATCTAGCCTCACACCATCCCGCAGTCGGTCCCCACCACAACCCATTGATCTACGCCCAAACACCGAACACGCGAACCCTGATCCCTCTCAATATCCCACCACAGCCGTCATCCGTCGCCCACTCAACCGTTGGCGACCTCCACCCAACTTTCACACCCTCACACTCGCAGACCAAATCCTGGAATGGCTCGAATTCCACGCCACCCAACTCGACAATCCCAACAGACCACAACACCAGTACATTGCCAATATCCTCACAGACTGCAACATCTCCTACAAGGAGATCACCGATTTCCGCCAATACACCCACGCTAAGTGGAACGACACAACTCACCAATACGACCAATTCCAGTACTATGCCATTTCACTTCCCTTCCTCAACACCAAAGCCACTACACCCGAGCCACCTGCGGTTTCCCGCGCCACATCAACCCACCGAGAAGTTGCCCACATCAACGCAGGCCACACAGGCCCCGTCGGCAACATTTCCAACATTCTACGCCAAGGCCGTTTTCTACCCAGCACACTCCACTTTGCCAACTACCCTGGATTTTTTGCCCAGGGCGTTCGCATCACCCACAACCAACCCCATGACCACAGCGAACTTGCCCGCATCATCCACAACACCTGGCAACTCCACAAGAACTCCCATTCCCTTATCATCACACTCCTTGCTTGGGGTGCCGCCACAAAGTATACCTCTGGAGGTGAGGAACACGCCATGAACCTCCTTAACGACCACCATGGTGCGGTCTTTCATCAGAAGGGCCGCTGTTGGGTGATCCACCCGGACCACGCCATTGTCAAAGGACTGGCCTGGTCCACCAACTCCACCCCACCGGACCCATAACGCCACTGCCACACATCCACACATCACTACCACCTCCACCTCCACTTTTGGTCTCACACCACCACCCAACCTTTGCTGTAGCAGCAAAAAAGAGCCTCTTGCAGCAGCCTCGGGCATTTTGAACCCTTCATTTTTCTAGCTCCGCAGTATTTGCTGAGAATCTTTTGAATTGTATCGGCTGTTTTGCAGGAGTCTTTCACATGTCAGTTTCTGCATCGTGGAGAGTGATTCTTTAAGCCATGTACTCGATTGTCCAATCTGCATTGCGTACTCACCCTTTTGCCTGTGGGAATTTGATGCTCGCTTAATTCATATGCACGGCCTCGGAATGATGTGCTTCCTCAGACTCGCCGCTTTCCGGCTGCTTTGGCGCGCTGCCGCAGCAACCTGTGACGATTCTTGATTACTGCACACCCATACATCTCAGCCCCATGAGCAGCAAGCTGACACCTCTACAAAACGACACCGCAACTCTCCTACACAAAACCGCAGTGGCACTTTCCCAGGTGCACAACCTGCTTCGACAAGCAACAGATATTGTAGCACACCTCCACACGGTCTTCCTCCACCACAGCCACCAAGCGGACCCCACTTTCCGCCAACACTTTCAGCCACTTCCAACTCCACCCAATCACCCCATACGTTTACCATCCACCACCTCATCCTGTGACTCAGCACCATCCAGACCACCCATCTGTTCACCAGCACCACCCTTACAGGATTCAGAAGACACTCCAACAACACCCCCTGTTCCACAACCCCCCACAACACGCAAGCGGAAGCAACCACCCCCACCACCACTGAACCAACACGCCGATTGGGACGCTTGGGACGGCGACGCTGATTGTCGCCTGATCGAACTCAAAGAAAACCCAAAACTTCGTCCCAACTGGACTACTGTGGCCCGCCGAGTGGGTTTCTCCGTTGCGCAATGCCAAGCCCGATGGCAAGAACTCAAAGACATGCAACGACAGCAAGACCAGCAACTTTTCTCCACACCACTACCACCTGCACCACCACGGCAAGCACCTTCCCCCTCACCAACACCTACATCACCAGCAGTTTCCCCAGCACCGCATTCACAACCGGACTTCTCCCCTTCCCCCACCACAACACCACCGACTTCACAATACCCAACGACTCCAGCTGCTGCGCCGCTGCCGCCGGCTGCTGAGCGACCGCTTAGTGAGGACAGTCATCCGGAGAAATCTCCACTCACGC